AAGAATACTATATCCATACTTCAGGAATAAAAGAGAACTAAAGACCTTCCCAGACAAGTTAAAACTGAGGATCCATCACCAGTAGGCTGGTACTAGGAATGATTAAAGTAGGGCAAACCAAAAATACAATAATTAATATCATGAAAGCATGTGAAAGTGCTAAATGCATTAGTATATGTAAGTCCTACTCAGAATACCCTAAGTGTTGTAATGGTGCTATGCAAATCTTTCAACTCCCTAATGAAGATTTAAAGTTACAAAGGTCAAAAACATTAACAAAGGTGAAAACAGCTACAGTTAGTGCCTAAGGAACACACAAAAGATAAAGATGTAAATTAAGACAAACAAAATACAAATGGCTTGAAGGGAGAAAAAAGTCTAAAGTATTTTTATGTGACCAAAGTTAAGTCAGTATCAGCTTAAAATAGTCTATTATAACTGCAAGACTCTTTATGTTAGGCCAGTGGTAACCACATAAAAGAATTTATGGTAGATACAAAAAGAAATAGAACAATGGAAACAAAGCTGAGTACCACACATATCACAAAACCACAAAAGTAAATAGCTAGAGAGGAAGAAACAAGGGATCTACAAAACAATGAGAAAATGGTTAATATAATGGCAGGAGTACATTCTTACCTATCAATGACAACCTTGAATATAAATCGAATATATTCTCCAATGAAAAGACATAAAGTGGCTAAATGGATAAAAATGCTAGACCCAACTATATGTTGCCTATAAAAGACTCATTTCACCATTAAAGACAATGGATAAAGAAAACATGGCATATACACCATGGAATATTATACAGCCATAAAGAAAGATGAGTTCATGTCCTTTGCAGGGACATGGACAAAGCTGGAAACCATCATTCTCAGCAAACTCACACAAGAACAGAAAACAAAACACTGCATGTTCTCACTCATAAGTGGCTGTTGAACAATGAGAACACATGGACACAAGGAGGGGAACATCATATACTGGGGCATATTGGGGGTGGGGGGTTTTGGGAGGGATAGTAGTGGTTGGGGGGATTAGGGACGGATAACATTAGGAGAAATACCTAATGTAGATGATGGGGCAATGTATGCAGCAAAGCATTATGGCATGTGTATACCTATGTGATAATCCTGCACAATCTGCACATGTACCCCAGAACTTAAAGTATAATAAATAATAATAATACTAACAAAGTAAAATAATAAAGTAGACATACAGGACTGAAAATGAAGGGATGGAAAAATGGAAACCAAAAGCAGGCAAAAGTAGCCATACTTATATCAAATAAAGTAGACTTTATATCAAAAATTATAAACACAGAAAAAAGGTTATTACATAGTGATAAAGGGAAAAATTTAGTAATATGTAACAATTGTAAATATTTATGCACTCAATATAGGAGCACACAAATGTATAAAGCAAAGATTATTAGATCTAAAGGGAAAGATAGCCTACAATACAATAATTGTAGGGTACTTTAATAACCCGCTTTTAACAATGTTTTATTGATCATCATAACAGAAGATTAATAAATAGGTATTGGACTTAAAACTCCACCAGAAACCAAGTGGACCTAATAGACATTTACAGAACAATCCAATAGTTGCAGAAGACACATTTTTCTCAACCACACATCGAGCATTCTCCAGGACACATAATATGTTAGGCCATGCAACAAGTCTTATGAAATTTAAGAAAATAGATACCATATCATGTATCATTTTGGACTACAATGTTATAAAACTAGAAATCAACAAGAAAAACTTTGAAAACCTTTCAAATACATGGAAATTAAACAACATGCCCCAAATAACCAATGGGCCAATGAATAAATTAAAATTTAAATTAAAAATTGAGACAAACAAAAATGGAAACACATCATACCAAAACCTATGGGACAAAACAAAAGCAGTTCTAATAGAGAACTCCAATGAAAAGACATAAAGTGGCTAAATGGATAAAAATGCTAGACCCAACTATATGTTGCCTATAAAAGACTCATCTCACCATTAAAGACGATGGATAAAGAAAATTTAAGTTTAATTTAATTTAATTTAATTTGAGTTCTAATAGGGAACTGCTTTTGTTTTGTCCCATAGATTTTGGTATGATGTGTTTCATCCATCATTGCAATTAGCACCTACAAGAAAGGGTGTCTAATGAGTAACCTAATCATGCATCTCAAAGAACTAGAAAAACAAGAACAATCAACCCAAAATTGGTAGTAGGAAGGAAGTAATGAAGCTCACAGAGAAATAAATGAAAGAGACGAAAAAAATTAAAAAATTAATGAAATGAAAGTTGGTTTGTAAAAAGATAAACAGAATCAACATAATGTTAGATTAAGAAAAAGAGAAAAGATCCAAATAAATAAAATCAGAGATGAAAAGGGAGATATTACAACTGATATCACAGAAATACAATAGATCATAAGAGATTACTATGACAACAGTATGCCAACAAACCTGAGAACTTAGAAGAAATGAACAAATTCCTGGATACATACAACGTACCACATTTAAAGTATGAATAAATAGAAAATCTGAACAGAACAATAATAAGTGAGGAAACTGAATCAGTAACAAAACATCTTGATGAAAAAAAAGCCCAGGTCTTGATAGCTTCTCTGCTGAATTCTAGCAATATTTGAAGAAGAACTAATACCAATTATTCTCAAACTTTTCCAGGAAATTAAAGAGGCGTAAATATGTTCAAACTCTTTTAAAAAGATCAGCTTTACATAGGTATACATGTGCCATGGTGGTTTGCTGTATCTATCACCCCCTCATCTACATTAGGTATTTCTCCTAATGCTATTCCTCCCCTAACCCCTATCCCCTGCTATCCCTCCCCTATTCCCACATCCCCCATGACAGGCCCTGGAGTGTGATGTTCCCTTCCCTGTGTCTAGGTGTTCCCATTGTTCATCACCCACATATGAGTGAGAACATGTGGCATTTGATTTTATGTTCTTATGTCAGTTTGCTGAGAATGGTGGTTTCCAGCTTTATCCATGTCGCTGCAAAGGACATGAATTCATCCCTTTTTATGGCTGCATAGTATTCCATGGTATATATGTGCTACATTTTCTTTATCCAGTCTATCATTGATGGGCATTTGGGTTGGTTCAGAACCAATATGTATACCTATGTAAGAAACCTGCACATTCTGCACATGTACCTCAGAACTTAAAGTATAATTTTAAAAAATTTAAAAAATGATTTTAAATGGATAATCCAGGTTGAAATTTTTAAGGATGTAAATAAGAAGGTAGACTTTAGAGCAAAAATAAAAGCCTTGCTAAATACCAATTTATAAGAAGCAAAGAAAACAGGTCATAGAGAAATAAATATCAAGTATAAAACAAACATAATTATAAAATAAAAAAATGAATAAAAGGCCAGCTTTACTCTGTTTCCAAAACCAGGCAAAGGCACAACAACAACAACAACAAAAGAATACTACAAGCTAATGCTTATGATGAACACAGATGCAAAAATTCTCTAAAAGATACTGGGAAACTGAATTCAACAGCAAATTAAAAAAACATCGCCTGCTACAATACAGTGGGAATCATCCTGGGGATACAAGATGGTTCAACGTATGCAAATAAATAAATGTGATATACCACATTGGCAAAATAAAGACAAAATATATCATTATTTCAATAGATTCAGAAAAAGCATTTGACAAATTCAATATTCATGATCAAAACTATCAACAAATTAGATATGGAAGATATGTACCTCAACACAATAATAGCCATACAGACAAATCTACAGCTAGCATCATACTAAATGGGGAAAGTGAAGATTTTCATCTTAAGATCAGAAAGAAAACAAGGATGCCTACTTTCATCACTCCTATTTAACATAGTACTGGAAGTCCTAGTCAGAGTAATAAGTCAGAGAAAGAAAGAAAAGACATCCAAATTAGAAAGGAGTAAGTCAAATTGTCCCTATTTGCTGATGACATGATCTTATATGAGAGAATCCTAAAGAATCTATGAAAAAAAATGGTTAGAACTAATAAAGGCATTTAGTAAATTCATAGGATACAAAATCAACATGGAAAAATAAGTAGCATTGTTATATGCTTATAGTAAATTATCCAAAAAAGAAATTAGAAAACAATTCCATTTATTGGGTGTGTGTGTACACACACACACACACACACACACACACACAAATGATACCTAGGAATAAACTTAAAGGAGGTGAAATATCTCAATTTGCACTAAAAACTATAAAACATTGATGAAAAAATTGAAGAACACACAAATAGATATGTTCAAAAATTGGAAGAATTAATATTGCAAAAACGATTGGAAAACTCAAATTGATCCACAGTTTTAGTGCAATCCCTATCAAAATAACAATTACATTCTTCACAGAAATAGAAAAAACAATCATCCTAATGTTGCAACTTTTAGATTCAGGGGGTACATGTATAGGTTTGTTACATGAGTATATTACATGGTGCTTGGGGTACAAATGATTATGTAGTTTGGATGTTTGTCCCCTCCAAATCTCATGTTTAAATGTGACCTCCAATGTTGGAGGTGGAGCCTAATGGGAAGTTTTGTGTCACTGGGGGCAGATCTTTCATGAATGGCTTAGTATCATTCCCTGGTGATCAGTGAAATTTCCCTCAGTTAGTATATGCAAGATCTGGTTGTTTAAGACTTTGAGGCCTCCCTCTTCTCTCTCCTGCTCTTGCCCCCTTGTGATGTGTCTGTTCCTGCTTTGCCTTTTGTCATTGGTAAAAACTCCCTAAGACCCCACCAAAAGATGAGCAGATGTCAGCACCATGTTACCTGTACAATCTACAGAACCACAAGATGGTTAAACCTCTTTTCTTTATAAATTACCCAGCCTCAAGTATTCCTTTATAGTGATGCCAAAATGGCCTAATGCAAATGATCCTGTCACCCAGGTAGTGAATATAGCACCCAATAGGTAATTTTTCCAATTCTTGCCTCACTTACTACCTCTACCCTTCAGTAGTTCCCAGTGTCTAATGTTCCCTTCTTTATGTCCCTGTGTACTCAATATTTAGCTTCCACTTATAAGTGAAAACATTGAGTATTTGATTTTCTGTTCCTGCATTAACTCAGGATAATAGCTTCCAGCTGCATCTGTGTTGTTGAAAAGGGCATAGTTTCTTTCTTTTTCATGGCTTCATAGTATTACATGGTGTATAGATAACATATTTTCCATAGCCAGTTTACCAATGTTGGGCATCTAGGTTGATTTTGATGTCCCTGTGAATATTGTTGCAATGAATATACAAATGCACAACTTTTTGGTAGGATGTTTTTCCTACTGGTTAAATACCCAGTAATGAGTTTGCTGGGATTTTTTTTTTTTTTTTTTTAGTTGTTTGAGAAATCTCAAAACTGCTTTCTACAGTGAATGGACTAATTCACATTCCCACAAACAGTGTATAAACATTCCCTTTCTTTTTTATTGCAATCGCACGAATATCTGTTAATTTCTGACTTTTTATTAGTAGCCATTCTGACTGGAGTGCAGTGGTGTGATCTTGGCTCATTGCAACCTCTGTCTCCCAGGTTCAAGTGATACTTCTTCCTCAGCCCCTCAAGTAGCTGGGATTACAGGTGTGTGCCCTCACGCCCGGCTAATTTTTTGTATTTTTGGTAGAGATGGGGTTTCACCATGTTAGTCAGGTTGGTCTCATCTCCTGACCTCATGATCTGCCTGCCTCGGCCTCCCAAAGTGCTGGGATTACAGGCATGAGCCACTGCACCTGGTAGAAATATTTTCTTTTATTCTGTAGAATGTCTGTTTTCTCTGTGGATAGTTTCATTTTTCTGGTGTGCATAAGCTCTTTAATAGGTCCCACTTGTCAATTTTTGTTTTCGTTGCAATTGCTTTTGATGAATTAGTCATGAATTCTTTGCCAAAACCAATGTTCTGAATCATATTTCTTAGGTTTTCTTCTGTTAGATTTTTTATAATTTTAGGTCTTATATTTAAATCTTTAATCCATATTGAGTTAATTTTTGTATACTGTAATAGGTAGAGATCCGGTTTTGTTCTTCTGCATATGGATAACCAGTTATCTCAGCACCATTTATTGAATAGGGAGTCCTGTCCCCATAGTTTTTGTCAGCTTTTTCAAAAATTAGATGATTGTAGGTGTGCAGCTTTATTTCTGGGTTCTCTGTTCTGTTCCCTTGGTCTTTGTGTCTGTGTTTCTACCACTACCATGCTATTTTGGTTACTGTAGCCTTGTAGTATAGTTTGAAGTCAGGTAATGTGATGCCTCTGGCTTTTTTTTTTATACCAGTACCATGCTGTTTTTGTTACCATAGCCTTATAATATAATTTGAAGTCAGACAATGTGATGCCTTTATTTTTTTTTTTTTTTTCTTCTTAGGATTGCTTGGCTATTCATGATCTTTTTTTGATCCATATGAATTTTAGAGTGCTTTTTTCTAATTTTGTGACAAATAACATTGGTAGTTTGATATGTTGTGACAAATAACATTGGTAGTTTGATAAGAATAACTTTGGATCTTTAATTTGCTTTGGGCATTATGGTCATTTTAGAGGTTCTGATTCTTCCAGTATCTGAGCATGGAATATAGTTCTATTTGTTTGTGTCATCTTTATTTCAGCAGTGTTCAGAGATCTTTCACCTCCTTGATTGATTAAATGTATTTGTAGGTTTTTTTTTTTTTTTTTTTTTGGTGGCTACTGTAAATAAGATTGTGTTCTTTATTTGGGTCTTGGCTTGAACATTATTGGTGTATAGAAATGGTCCTGATTTTTGTATATTGATTTTTTATCCTAAAACTACTGATAATGTTTTTAAGTCCTAGAAGCCTTTTGGTGAAATCTTTGGGGTTTTCCAGGGATAGAATTATGTTAGCAGTGAAGAGAAATATTTTCACATTTTTTTTTTCTATTTGGATACCTTTATTTTTTTCTCAAGCCTGATTGCTCTAGGCTAGGACTTCCAGTAATATGTTGAAAAGGAGTGTTGAGAGTGGTCATCCTTGTCACATTCTAGTTCTCGAGGGTAATGGTTCCAGATTTTCCCTGTTCAGTATGATGCTGGCTATGGGTTTGTCATAGATGGCTCTTATCATTTTGAGGTATGTTCCTTTGATACCTAGTTTGTTGAGTATTTTTATCATGAAAAGATACTGGATTCTATCAAAAGTGTTTACTGTATCAGTTGAGATGATCAAATGGTTTTTGTTTTTAATTCTGTTTATGTGGTGAATCACATTTTTTGATACGTATATGTTGATCCAACCCTGCATCCCAGGAATAAAACCTACTTAAACATGGCCAATTAATGTTATAATGTGCAGTTAGATTTAGTTAGTATTTTTTTGAGGATTTTTGTGTCTATGTTTATCATGCATATTAGTCTGCAGTTTTCTTGTTTTCATTGTGTCTTTGACAGATTTTGGTGACACAGTAAGGCTAGCTTAGTAGAATGAGTTAGGAAGGAGTCCCTCCTCAATTTTTTGGAATAATTTCAGGAGTATTGGTACCAGCTCTTCTTTGGACACCTGGTAGAATTTGGCTGTGAATCCATGTGGTCTAGGGCTCTTTTTGGTTGGTAGGGTTTTTAAACATTTTTATTAACTGATTCAGTTTTGGAACTCCATATTCATCTTTTCAGGGTTTAATTTTCTTCGTGATTCAGTTGTTGCAGATTGTGTGCTCCCAGGAATTTATCATTTTTAAAATAGACGATTGTTTAGTTTGTTTGCATAGAGATGTTTATAATAGTCTCTGAGGGACTTTTTAATACTTTCTTTGGGATCAGTTGTAATGTCACCTTTTTCATTTCTGATTGTGCTCTTTGGATCTTCTTTCTTTTTCTTTGTTAGTCTAGCTAGTGGTTTATTGATTTTATTTATCCTTTTAAAGAAACAGCTTTTGGTTTTGTTGATCATTTCTATAGATTTTTGGGTCTTAATGAAATTCAACTCTGCTGTGATTTTAGTTATTTCTTTTATTCTGCTCATGTCGTGGTTAGTTTCTTCTTATTTTTCTAGTTGCTCTAGATGCAATGCTAGATTTTTCATTTGTGACTCATCTAACTTCTTGATGTAGGTGTTTATTGCTGTAAATATTCCTCTTAACACTGATTTTGCTGTATTTCAGAAATATTCATATGTTCTTTCTCTTTTTTCATCTATTTCACATACTTTTAAAATTTCTGCCTTAATTTCACTGTTTATCCTAAAGTCTTTCAGGAGCAAGTTGTTTAATTTTCATATAATTGTGTGGTTTTGAGAGATTGTCTTGGTATTGATTTCTATTTTTATTCCACTGTGGCCCAAAAGCATGGTTGGTATGATGTTGATTTTTTTTTAGTTTATTGAGGCTTGTCTTATGCCCAAGGATGTGGTTGATCTTAGAGTATATTCTGTGTTCAGATAAGAAAGGTGTATATTTTTTGGTTGATTGGCAAAATGTTATGTAGTTGTCTACTATGTACGATTGGTGAAGTGTCAAATTTATGTCCAGAATGTCTTTGCTAGTTTTCTTCTTTGATCATCTACTTAATGCTCTCAGTGGGTAGTTGAAGTTCCTTGCTATTATGGTGTGGTTGTCTAGTTCTTTTCGCAGATCTAGAAGTACTTATTTTATGAATCTGGGTGCTGTAATATTGTGTGCATTCTAAATTTAGGATAGTTCGGTTTTCTTGTTGAATTGAACCCTTTATAATTACATAGTGCCCATAGTGCCATTTTTGTCTTTTTTTTTCCCAACTATTTTTGGTTTAAAGTCTGTCTTATCTAATATAAAAACAATGACCTGACCTCTGTTCTTTTTTGTTTTTTATTTGCATGATACAGCTTTCTTCAGTCATTTGCTTTGAGCCTATGAGTTATGTGTTAGCTAGGTCTCTTGAAGATAGCAGATGGACGGTTTTTTTTTTTTTAATCCACTTGCCACTCTGCCTTTTAAGTTGGGGCCTTCAGACCATATTCATTCAGGGTAATATTGACATGTTGTTAGCTGTTTGTTTTGTTAAATCGAGTAGTTGCTTTATAGGGGTTGTTGGCTATGTACTTAAGCATGATTTTGTGTTAGCAGATATCACACTTTTGTTTCCAGGTTTAGAACTCCCTTAAAATTCTCTTGTAATGCTTGTCTAGTGGTAATGAATTCCCTTAGTGATTTCTTGTCTATAAAAAATTTTATTTCTCCTTCACTTATGAGCTTAGTTTGGCAGGATATGAAATTCTATGTTGGAATTTCTTTTCTTAAAAATGCTGAAAATAGGCCCCTAATCCCTTCTGGCTTGTAAGGTTTCTGATGAGATGTCCACTGTTAGCTGTGTTAGCTGAAGGGGTTTCCTTTATATGTGTTCTTACCTTTTTGTCTAGCTGCCTTTAAGATTTTTGCTTTAATATTGACCTTTGAATAGTCAGTCTGGTGACTCTATTCTTTGACAGTGTTCATTTTGTAAAATTTTTGGCAGATGTACTCTGGATTTTTTTTATATGGCTGTCTAACTGTAAAAAGATTAGGGACATTTTCTTGAATGAATCTCTGAAATATGTTTTCCAAGTTGTTTAATTTTTCCTCTTCTCCCTCAGGAATGCCAACAATTCATAGATTTCATCACATTACATAATTCCATATTTCTCAAAGATTTCTTTTTAGTTTTAATTTTTTTTTAATTATTTTTTTCTGGGTTAGTTTAAAAGGCTGGGCTTCAATTTTTGAAATTCTTCCTTCTGCTTGGCCTCAAATATTGATAAAGCTTTCAATTGTATTTTGAAATTCTTGAAGCGAGTTTTTAAATCCCCATTGTTCTGATAGATTTTTCAAGATAGTTGCCTCTTCTTTCATTTTCTGTATTACTTTCAAAGCACTTTTTGTGTTTTCAACATTGTTTTGGATCTTGTTTAGCTTCCTTGTAATCCATGCTTTGAATTCATTTATGCCATTTATTAGTTTCCATTTTGGTTAGAGTCCATTTCTGGAGAGCTAGTGTAATATTTTAGTGGTGTGACAACATTAAGGTTTTTCACTGTGCTAGAATTCTTATGGTGGTTCCTTATCTGGAGAGGTTAGCAATTCTAATTCTTGTAATTATTTTCTTGTGAATA